CTGACTCCATCATACCTGCACAGTTCTGACTGTCCATAAAACATTAAACTGCTGATAACTGACATAGAAAAGTATCTATACACGATTCTATAGACTTCAATTCTCTCCTTATGGATCTTAAGTTTCTCTCTCCTTACACATTTTATGATTGTTTAATTGATATGAATAAGCTCCACATGAAAAACTGATAGCATCAGAATACACAATTATAGATTGAACACTATACTTTGAACATCATTTCAAATCTAAAACCGAAATTTCATGTTTCCAAAACTATACTTGCCTGTGACCTCTTGATCCCTTAAGATGAAAATATAATCTCTTGAAACACGTGATTGAATCAATCTATATAAATTTCGAGTCATTAATCTGGCCACGTTCCCTATAACAGGTGACATCGAAATCACTCTACCTGTGACCCTGGCTAAATTGCGTGCAGTGACAAACGTCAAAGAACCCATCAATGAATTAATACAAGAAATAAGTTCAACTACTCTCTGTGAAGGATCTTGAATACTGTAATTCAACAAATTCCAAATTAAACATTACAAACCAGCTCCTGGCACGGTCTCCGGAGAGAATTTTCTATGATAACTTCAAACAAAAATTAGATAAAGACTGTGACAAGAAAACCGATTCTAAATTTACAGAATCAATATCAAAATGATCTCCTTAACCATCACCTGTATATAAAACAATAAAACAATACGGATGCCATCTTCCCTCCAATACTTCACTAACGGTCTTAGACATTTTGTGATCACATATGGACAAGAGACATTTCAAATGGTAATACTGTAAAAATGTAAAATTTTGCCGTCCCATGAAAAACCTAATTTATATTAAAATAAGAAGATGTGGTGTGATTGCCAATGAGACAACTCTCCACCGGAGATCAAATGGCGTAAAAGGTTATCAACTAAAGGTCACCGTACGACCTTAAATGATGAGAAAAAAACCCATACCGCAAAGCAAGCTATAAAAGGCCCAAAAAAAGGCAAACGTTAAACAATTCAAACAAGAAAACTAACGGCCTGATTTATGTACAAAACAATAAACGTAAAACAAATATAAAATACATCAACAAACGACAACCTCTGATTTACAGGCTCCTGACTTGGGACAGGCACATACAGAATCTGGCGGGGTTAACATGTTTGCAGGCGCGCCAAACCTGTTCTAAACTGGGACAGTGGTGTAACAGCCCAACATAAGAAAAAAAACTATAAAAATCAGTTGAAAAGGGCTCATATCTTCATCGATTCAAAGCACATAACAACTAACAAAAACACAAAAGACACAAATTATGGATAAGAGAGTACTCGTAGTGACTGAAAGCTAGTCTAAAGCCAATAGCAACACATAACACATTAAAATCATGAATCTTAGACTAAAATATCAATCAGTACACATCCGACTTCCAATGGATTTAGTGTAAAGACGTCATTAACAGAGAAAAAGATGAACTTGGACAATGCCAAAATTATAGGTATCGACAGATTGTAGGACCATGAATGTACATAAGTGCATAACAATAATATTTAATTGGGTTTTAATTTTAATTTATTTAACAAAATGAATATTTATACTGACAAAAATAAATATTGAAAGATCTAATAACAGTGTTGCATTGGTTACCTCTTAGAATTAGCTTATTTAAAGGATCGATAAGCTTACCCGGATTGTATCTATTTATGTGCTCGGTACAAAACATCACAGTAGCAGTTAGAATGTACTATCACGTTTGTAATAAGTTTTCTACATGTAAAGCCAATTCTTTAATTATGAAAGAATTTAGTAAAGGTTTTAAGTAATTGGTAACGAAATCCTTGACTTAATAATTTACGAGTACTACATAGATTACCTTAATTGAAATCAAAAGTTCACTACAGACATGGGTATAGTGAAAGAGTTAAAAAAAAAAAAAAAGGACAATTAACAATAGGGAACAAAAATTCGTCCCTTTTGTCGAAAATTTTTGTAAGAGTTTTCCGTGTCAAACTGAAATATCTAAATCTAGGAAAGGACAAATATTGCTGTTTATATTTATATTCTAAATGATTGATAAGAAGCCACCTCCGGTTTCCTCCATTTGTGTTAAATCAGGTTTCTTCGTACTGATTCTAAAAATATATGGTTTCTATAACCTTTTGCTTGAAAATAAGGGAGATAATAATCTATTTCCGGTTAAGAAAATATAACTTCCCTTCTCATATGATATCTTTATTAACACTGATACCAAATATGCATGGTTTCCATATACTCTTGCCTGATAGAGATAATTTCCTACTTCCGTTTTACAGAAGGTCACTTTCAGTCTCATATGATAGCTTTATTTATGCTGATTAAAAAAATATATGGTTTCTATGTACTTTTCCATGAAAATTCAAAATCATTTTCCTTTTTTCCAAGCAAAAATTGCTACTTCCGCTTTTCTCAAGGATACTTCTGGTTGACATTTTTCAAGGTCATATGTCTCCCAACCTAATGCAAACGACCCTATGGGTTTATCATGTATCAGTATGAAGTTACAGAAAAGGTCAAAATGTAGAACGTCAAATTCACATTTGACCTTCATATCACCATACAACTGATTTAAAACTCTACAGTAGAAGGAAACTTCTATTATAAGACACTGTATCCTTTCGACTAACATTTTTCATTTTCGATATGTCACAACTAACAATTTTGTATACTTCTTTTGTAATTATTTATTACGTTTTTTTTTAGGAAAAGCGAACACAATCCAAAATCACAATTTAGAACATGACCTTGACCTTTGACCTTGACCTCCGATTCCTTTTTGTGAACCAAGGACCTAAAATCAAAATAACTTAGGTCTCTATCACTTACGGTTCATGAGATACATTAATATATCACTAATGTCAAATACAGAAGGGTAAATAACTCTCATATGGAGTCTTATATATAATCAACATAACTCTGTTAATTTACTGGCTTTTACTATATAAGAACATTGACTGAACCCGAGTTATATTTCTCATCCGCTTATATACCCCTTGTCGAATACATTATTTCCTTGATATGGATGTTCCCTAACTGAACATAGTGTATCACTTATGAACATGTATTGCTACAAGGAGTTTCTTCTAATCTGTAATAATACCGATCAACAAACATTACATTAGAAAAAAAATAACCTTATCTGAAAAGGAAAAAACCTACATTTTAGCAAATGCAGGCAAATATATAGTGAGTTGTTAACAATCATCTTTGAGAAATGTCCAAGGTATTTCTAATACACGATGAATCTTTTGTTGCAGTTAGATGTCAGTTAATAAAATCGTAAAATGAAGAAGTTGTTGCTGATTTGCATGATTCAAGTAAGTACTGAGCAATATATTTATATATTTCTGTCTTCCAGAAGTAAGTATATAAAGAGTTATACTCACTAATAATCGCGTGGTAGCATGCTCTGCTTGAGTACTTAAGGTTGATGGTCTGATTTACAAGTTGGTTAAACTCAATACGTTATTACTATTCTGCTGCTTCTCAGTCAGATACACGGTACTTGGGAATAAAAATCAAAGATTAGTAGTATTGCAGTCCGTATAAAGAAGGGATTTAGTAGATTAAACTATTTAATTTTAGCTTCCTTATTATACACACAGGATATATCAATATATGACTTTATCATGTAATCGTCCTGAAAAAAAAAACATTCTAAGTTTGCCCTGTGGCGTTTTAACACCAATCAGTTAAGCAATTAACCAAGACACGAGTTAAGAAAAAGAATGCATCAATTACACCAGTAGATTACAGGATGCATTTGCAGATATTTCACAAAGCCAATTAAATGGGTATTGCATACATATTAGACAAAAGTAAAATAACAAAAATACCGAACTCCAAGGAAAATTTCAAATCGAAAAGTCCCTTATCAGTTACAATATGATTTGTTTTGTTTCGAATATGTATCAAAGCGGAATATAGAAATTATAATTCGCTATTAGCAGTCAATATGGTCCAATTTCGTCAAAATAGGATAAAAAAGACAACGCTGATGTATTGTTGACTTGTAAGTCAATAATTCAATTCATTTGAATTCATAGTCATGCAACCTTTTAATTTGACATTTAGTGGAGAAATTGCGCATGTAGGTTCATCATTAAAAAGAAAAGAATATCAACATTGAAAATGAATCAACGGTGCCATCAAAAATAGCCATTTCCCTGACTCTTCTGGCCCACAAAAATTCATTCTTATACAGGTAAAACGATGATTTACATATATGTTTAACCTTTCACATGAAATCAAACAGACCTAAAAAAAATCCGATTACATGTGATCGCTATCTATCTATTTATTTATATATATATGTATGTTTATATCCGGTAATATAATCGTCGACAGCCTTCAGAGGTCATCTCGACGGATAGTTAGATGGCTTCTGGTCGTAGATAAGCAGACTGTTGTATACTAATTATATTCAGATAGCTAACACATATATATTTGACCTTATATCCTAAAGCATATATTGCTTCCATGAATATATTGAGTGTTTGTTTAGTTTAAATTCTGTATCAGTTGTCTTTAATTATTTTCATTTGTATAAGTAGGAATTCAATTAAATACTTTTAAGTTGTTAATGGTTATTTTGAAAATTCTTGTTAACTAGATTCGAACTGTATAAGTTGTAGCAAAGACTGAAAAGATGCAAACAACTGACAACATAACGATTCGACTATCTCATGAAATTATCAAAAAAATGATAATCCAAATAACTTACCATAAAATAGTTTTATCAAAAACCATAGTACGCTTATGTGAGAAATGATCTATGTGAAACAGTAATTCTGTTTAGAACTCTGTTAAGAATTGTGTTAAAACAAGCCTTATTTCAAAGTAACTTGCATAAGAGCTACACAAAGACAAAGTCAAACTTAAATATAGAATATAATTCTTGGAACTATACCCCTTTCATCTTTGTTCGATTGAATTTTCTGATTGGTTATCGAACTCTATATTTTAAAAGGTTTTCGCTGTGACATTGGAATATGAACTAAGATGTCCATTGGCAGGGGAATGGCGTCTTAGAGCAAGAATTTTCTACTGCGATAGAGACTACGTGTGTTTGTTTCGTTCATTAGAGAAAACTTATCATGAGTCCTGTGGGGGACTGGATTACAGCAGCACAGGTAAATCTTCCTTTATTTTTATCATAAAAATCCTGTATCATAATTAAACTCATATTTTTAGTAATGGTTTTAATTCAGTTTCCTTTTTCTAAATATAGCTAATAAGTTATTTATGTTGGATATAGTCGTAATACTTTCAATATATATAATACTAAATATCTTTTACACAACACAGTTTGCTCTTTTGGTATATGTGTCTCCAGGTTGCTTCCCCGTTGACGTAGGCAAAAATTTTTGTTGATTCAAATTAATACCTCGTAAAAAACTTATAACGCAAAAAAAGGAAGAAATATATATGTGTCGCTAATACGATTTCTTAGAATTGATCCTTCGTCGATACTTCATATCATCGGTATTGCGGTATTAAAAATATAACTGATGCAATTGTTAATATTTTAATATCACCATATCAAACAAATGCACGAATTGTTTGTTCTCTAATTCGATTTTGACTGTTCATTTTTCAATATTATTTGTATTCGCAGATCAAGGTATTAAAAATTAACCATGCCATGTGCCTAAGAAAGTTAAATGCCAATCAGTGTCTATAATTATACATGCATTTTGGTGTTTTTGCTCAGTAATAAATTTGTATTATAAAAAAAAACACGGCAGATTTATTGCAGTCCATGTAAAATGGCAAAACATATTAGAAGACATCAAGGGGGAATTTCAAAGTTTGGCAAGGTTATTTCATTTGATTGTAAGTTTGTCGCTCGTGCTGTGTGAATGCAGTAGAATGCGTCCCCGTGCTAGTAGTGTGTGACCTTATATTTTACAGTCATAGTTTGGTTGCTCATGAGAGAAGTCTGTCCCCGTCTTATTTATTTGCTGTTTGTCATTTTGTCAGTTTTTCATGCCGAGGCCTTTAATAGCATACTCCGATAGATTATACCATGGATATATTTCATGCATTTAAAGATATGTGGGATATACGTCAAGGAAACAGCAACCATGCCATAGTTAGATATTTTAGTTACCACTTTCTTTTAACTTGCATATTGTATATAGTGTATTTGTATTGCATGTGCTTACGGTCACTCTTTATGAGGATTGTGAATAAACTCATTATAGATACCAGGATTAAAAAAATGTTCGTCAGACGCGCGTTTTGTCTATATAAGTGACGAATCACAAAAGAAAAAAGGCCAAATAAAGTACGAAGTTGAAGAGCATAAAGGACTTAAAATTCCAAAAGGTTTTGCCAAATAAAGCTAAGGTAATCTATTCCTGAGGTAGAAAATCCTTAGTATTTCGAAAAAATTCTAAGTTTTGTAAACAGTTAATTTAAGGTTATGACCATAGCAATGATATTTCATTTGAACTGCTGACTACTTGGCTAGTGATATCCTTGGGGAGTTAACCTCCACCAGCAGTGGCATCAACCCAGCTTTTTCTACTCAAAATACAGGAATGAAATTGTCATTTTGAAATGTATTTCTATATCTTAAATACCAGTTTTTCTTAATTATGGTTCCTTTAGACGCGTTTACACCAGTAAGTAGAATAGACAGTTAAGTAGTGGAACAATGGCTTGAAGACGAAATAAATCTATATTTGTAAGGAGTGTTGTGCAGCTTCGGAAGCCAGTACATAGTTGAAACTTTAATTGTATTTGGTTCTGCTTGTAAAGAGGTAGCTAAAAGTTTATATGTGTTACAGGTGTCATTTTCCGAAAATGGAGTTAGTTGGAAATTGGTGAATTCGTGATTTCCTTTTGCAGAACCTCAATGTAAAATTTACGTCAAACAATAATGATGTTATTAGTACCCTTATCAGCCGGGACAAAAACAAATTCCTTGGCGAGTTCTTTTAGCTTATGTTTGATACGAGAAATAGGGTTATTATGGTTGTTGTTAGGAGTAAAATGTTCTTTAAAATGTCTGCATCTTACAAGTGCTTCAACGAATGCGAAACAATGGCACATTGTTAATAACCAGTGGTGTAGACTCAAAAACAGTGACGCGATAGACTTAACTTCAAAATTTGCAAATGCAATTTCTGTGTCCTTAGTTGATACAAATATTGCTAAGATCGGCGGATTACCCCTACAACCTGTATTCTCGAATCGGTGAACTGAAACAAAGTTAAGCTTATAATGTTTCATAGTATATTTGAAATATGCATCCATAATTACACTATTTACATTGTTTTTTTTTCGTCAACTTTTGACTTTTTATAGTTTTCTCCCCTTGAATATTCAAAATAACCTGTTTGGTAGGATAACTTCTTAACTATACGTCTTATTGACCTGGGGTCTTTTGATATGAGATCCGTGACTTTTTGACCTTGATATTTACTTCAAGTTCAAGGTTAAATTTGTCGTTCTATATTTTGACATTTGATATAACTTCATACAAGATAAAGCCTTAATGTCTTTTGCATTAGGCTGGACGACAAATGACCTTGAAAAATCAACAACCTAGAGTAAACCGGAAGTAGATTGTTTTTTTACATCTATATTATGTAAGAGAACCTAGAAACCATATCTTTTCAGAATCAGTGTGAATCAAGCTATCATATGTGTCGAAAGTGACATTTTGTAAACAAGAAATAACAAATTATTTCCCTTAGAGCAAACAAACGTTTATTGAAACCATATATTTTTTCAAAGCAGTTTAATGAAACCTATTATATGACACCGGAAGTGTCATTTTATACAGCGGAAGCAGTCAATTATTTCCCTTATTTCAAGCAAAAGTTTATAGAAACTATATAATATTTTAGGAATAGATTACCTTAGCCTTGACAAACTTTTCGGAATTTTGGGCCCTCAATGCTCTACAACTTCTCATTTTATTGGGCCTTTCAAATTTTTGATTGGACCGTCACTGAGTCTTTTGTTTAGTAAACGTGCATCTAGCGTGAAAGTAAAATACATAAAAACCATATATTTTTCAAATAAGTGAGAAGTAAGCTATCGGATAACACCGAAATCGACTATTTTAAACTAGAAGTAGCTGATCAACTCCCGAAAAAAAGAACTGTAAACTATATATGTTTGGAATATTTGTAAGATTAGTTTTCTTCTGACACCCTTTTTGTTTACGAAGTTTCATTTTTTTTTTTTTGTCATTAAAAAAATAGCATTTCTGTATAAAAGTTCATTTAAACCTTTATTATTAACATGTGAGGTGGAAAGTCCTTTCAATTGTTCTCTGAATAATTGGTTTCTAATTCAATTAATGATCAAAGAAGCCAGATAATTTAATTTCACATTCAGATATATTGATGATGTTCTTTCCATTAACAATCCAAACTTTTTCTGATTGGGTTCCATTTATATATCTTCCAGAACTAGAAATTAAAGAAGCAACAGACAAGGCTTCCTCCGCCTCATTTTTAGACTTATACATCGAATTTGACATAAGGGGTCATCTCAGTACCAGAATCTATGACAAGCGAGACGATTTTAATATTGAAATTATAAATTTCCCCCACCTTAGCAGCAATATACCAACTTCACCTGCATATGGGATATACATGTCCCAACTAATTCGGTATTCAAGAGCTTGCAGCTGCTACTCAGACTTTACAAAACGTCTCCAGTGTCTGAGCAGAATGTTGATGAACCAGGGTTATGTCAAAGAACGTCTCGTCCTTTTTCTAAAAAAGTTCATCGAAAGATATCAAGACCTTGTTGATAAATATTCCGTATCAACTTCACAAATAATACATGATGATCTTGTAGTATAGATTCTAGGTACTGACGTTGTTTATCATCTTAATTACGTGTTATGGTGTTCTTTTTATTTTTCTTTGTATATTTTTTTACCTTTACTGTTTGGTCCATTTTTGGTAATATACTTCTGGCGTGGCTAGGTATTTATACATCCCACTATTGTGTTATTGTGTTATGGTCATTTTTGTATTCTTGTCTTTCATTTTTGCATATGTACTTTATCTATAGAGTGTCTATATGCCATTTTGTTTTTCTTTGTTGAAATAGTTATTTGTTTTACAGTGATTAAGATATAACACAATGTTGACTGCTGTTCACCAATTTTTGATATTTTTTTTTATTACGAAAAATATATGGTTTCCATGAACGTTTGTTTGCTCTAAGGGAAATAATTTGTGTGCACCTATTTTAATTATTTTCGTTTTGAGTTTTTCTTGGATTTCGGTATTTTTACTATTTTACTTCTTAGTGACAATGACATGGCTGACATGATTACTATAAGGTACAGGCACCTATTTTAATTATTTACCATAATTCGAGACCAAAATTGTAGGAGTTCGTATAATAAAATGAAAAAAAAATGGTTATAAAAAAAGTAAAATCACAAAAATATCAATCTCCAAGCACAATTCAAAAACGGAAAGTCCCTTATCAAATGGCAAATCAAAAGTGTAAACACATCACATGAATGGAAAACAACTCATATTCCTGACTTGGTACAGACATTACCTTATGTAGAAAATGGTGGATTAAACCTTGTTTTATAGTTAGCTAAACATCTCACTTGTATGACAGTCGCATAGAATTCCATTATATTGAAAACAATGTGTGTGCAAAATAAACAGACATAATAGGTAGAAATGTCAAAAATGTATTCAAGCAGCTACTCAATATACACTTTGAAGTTTTATTAATTTGTTTTCGAAGAATTGTTGAGCTCAAATGGACTATGGTGGTTCAAATATTGGCCTTTTGAGGCTTAAATAACATGCAAGTTTTACAGTTTTCCATTGCAATTTGGAAAAAAATACTTAGACACTAGACTTTACTTTCTACCCAAATGTGACGCCAAGAGTCGATAAGCATAATAGCTTTTTATATATTGACTTTTAAGCATATTTATGACAAAACAAAGAAATGCCCTACTCCTACAGCTTATTTGTGTAAATATGTGTTTATGTCTAAATTTACTAAAACTAATTTTCAGCCTGACATGTCTTAAGACCATTTCATACTCATGTGGAATGCTTCTGTGTCTTGTTTTATCATTTAAATTCCACCAAACATGTACAAAATGAATTAATTAGAGAAAAAACACTTCCTTCATTTTTGAAAGGGGTAAATATTACATTTTCATATATGCATCTCTTCATGTAAAAAAAAACCTATATTTCCAGGCACTGGCGCTTATGAATTTGACTTTATAATAACTATAATGCCACAAATGGGTAAATTGTTAGTTTCAATACTTTTCTGCTCCCGAGCAATTAAAAGTATATTTTTTTCAAATTTTAATATTTAAAGTCAAAATTTTGGAGTCAAATTGTTGTTTCCAACGTCAAATTGAATACGAAATAAAGTTAGTTAACTGTGTTATTATATAAAAAACGTAGTTCATGGAATATTTGTTATCCAAATTGGTCAATGTTTTACCTCATCCGAGATCACAATTGTCGCCTTTACATTTTCGTTGTCTAGAAATATAGTCCTTAGTTTTGACAGTGTAGATCTTCCCTATTAATTTCTCCATGTTTTATGCTTAAAATAGCAAGTAGGGATTCTTTGTGTTTGGTACATACCCTGTAAATGAAATCCGTGTAATGTGAACATGCTCGCGCGTAACGTCTCAGATATGTAAACGCAAAATGATCGGAGCAGAGGGTTTATTACTACAGAGAAATTGAAAGTTGACAGTAGGAAAACTGATACTGCACATTGTTTTTTTCAAAAATCATAGTTTGAAGTCGTCCATCTGTGGTAATTTCAAAGCATAATTCTTAGAAAAAAAATGTTGACTAATTTTGAGCAATTTTGCACCATTTTCTACATAAGGAAATGCCTGTACCAAGTCAGGATTATGACAGATGTTTTCCATTCGTTTGATATGTTTGAGCTTTTGAATTTACCATTTGATAAGGGACTTTTCGTTAGAATTTTCCTTGGAGTTCGGTATTTCTGTTATTTTACTTTTTTTTGTACGTTTTCGGTTGAAAGATTGATTTTTTTTTTGTCTATACATATTTCATCAGTGTATAACCCACAAACAAGACAAATAGATTTGGACTAATTTGTACATACAAAGATCATAATAGGTGATATTTTTTTTTATTGTTGAAATGGTTAAACGTTTTAACTTTCAACTTGTGATCTTCCAATTTATTTTATATCAATTTCAGGTAGCAAACTTATATTAGAACCGTTTTTTAATAAAGCACAATGCAGCAACAACCGATATCAGCCTTTTCCATTCTCAACTGATGGAAGTAGTAAATGTGTGTATCAAAAGTCTTTTTGTAATGAAGAGGGCCAATTGGTATTCGTTAAAGGAAGTTTTGAAAATGACACGACCTGTGAATGCGACTACTCAAGAGGGTATACATTTGTAACCAAGCCAAGACACAACTGTTACTGTAAACCTTACGAAGAGGACTGTTCCTGTCATAAACAAACCTGTAATAAAAAAAGTAAAACTAATACAAGAATACCACATTATAACTCTACATGCCCAGTCTACGGAAAGAGCGACTCGAAAAAAAAACATTTCTTATGTGGAGTAGCGATATTTGCTAATATGAAATTGTAAATATGCAGACACTTCATGAGAATAAGAATTTTTTTGGCTAGCAAAATATGTTTAACGTTAAAAGATATTAATAGATATGGTCTGAAATTACAAACATGAGAGTTTCATGTATAAATTAAATCAATACAGTCTGAAATCGATCATTGCCTGCCTTTCAAGGTCATTTTAAAGGGAAAGAATCAAGTGCATCTGTAAAACGAAAAATAAGGCTAGACATCTTTATTGATATATCAAGCGTCAAAATATCGTTAAAAACACAATTAAGTTCTTAAATGTGTTCAATAGTAAAATAATAGCAAAAATGTCCGTGGAAAAATTGTAGTGCTGTGTTTTCTTATGTAAATAAACGATTTAATGCTATTGATTTTATTGATGCTGTATTTTTTTTTTTTCGAAATACTCAATTATTCTTTGAACATAATTTTGTTCGATAGAACTAATGTATACATTTTTGGTACATAATTGTTTTAAGCTTTTTGCTGGGATGTAGAAATGTATCTTCAATGTCCAGCACAACGGTAACTGTATTTATGTCTTTGCTTGAAAAAATACTTTTGCCATATGTGATTTCATTTTCAGGTTTTGTTGCAAATGATATTTGATTGTATTTTCTCTGTGAAAATTTCTTTCACCTAAGAAATAGTATTTCTTTGTTTATGGTGCTATTTACAGTAGACCTATGTTTTAATCAAATACTTTGGAAGAATAGTGACAGTAGAGTCATTAAATTCCGCCACAACACCACCATTGATAATAGAAATCTCACTAAAACCTCAGGATCGTGTCTTATGGACTTGGAAGGTGGTAAATACTGCGCAATATTGATAGGGAAAACCAAAACTTATCGATTTTCAGTCAAATTGAGTACAGATGCGTTTAAATTACATTTAATTGATAAATTTAATAACACTCGCCGTTACCTTAATGATGTTTTTTCTTTAAATAATCGAGAAATCTCTTATTATGCTGCTTGTATGTATCCATGGGAATTTCCTTTAGATAGATATAATATGAACGAAAATATTTGTCCTTTTTTCTAGATTTAGATATTTGACACGGGAAAATTATAAACCAACAATTATATAATAAAGTAAGTCCTCTGTGGAAGTTTATTTTTAACATTTTTACGAATCCATAACGTATAAAAGACAAAAAAACATTTCATAAAATTGAGAATGGAAATGGGGAATGTGTGAAAGAGACAACAACCCGACCAAACAGCAGAAAACAGCACAAAGCCACCAATGGGTCTTCAACACAGCGAGAAAATCCCGCACCCGGAGGCGGGCTTCAGCTGGCCCCTAAACAAAAATGTGTTAAGTGAAAATGGACGTCACACTAAACTCCGAAACATATAACTAAAATTAAAAAAAACCATACAAGACTAACAAAGGCCAGAGGCTCCTGACTTGAGACAGGCTCAAAAATGCGGCGGGGTTAAACATGTTTTGTGAGATCTCAACCCTCCTCCTATACCTCTAGCCAATGTAAAATAAATAAACACAGCAATACGCACAGTAAAACTCAGCTTGAAAGAAGTCCGAGTTGGATATCAGAATAGGTAACAGAAGAAACTAAGCAAAATGACAATGATACAAAAATTAACAAAGGACTACTAGCAGTTACTGACATGCCAGCTCCAGACCTCAATTAAACTGATTGAAAGATTATGTCTTCATCATATGAAAATCAAGCACAATCCCTTCCGTTAGGGGTTTAGTATCATATCATCTTAAAATATATGAGAAGAACATAGCCCGTGTCATGCCAACAACTGGTTTTAGAATAAATGTGTTTATTTCCGATGCAAAGACCCTATGAGTGAATCAATATTAATTCCAAAATATGCCATCTTTAATGACCTGACAACAGTATGCATGATTGTTGATTGAAAACTTTGGCTGCTAATTAACTGTCGGGTCTCGGTGCCGAAGTTTACCAATCATTACCTATCAATAAACAATAAAAACCAATAATCCATACCAAGATTAATTATGTCAGAGTGGCAGGTCTCATCTGACCTTCACATCATTTCCATGGTTCATTTTACAATGTTTTTATTGTTTGGTCTAATTCTTAGATACTATAAGCAATAGGACATACTATTTAGTGTAAGGAATGATTTGATGGTGTACATGTCTGTTTGGCAGATTTCATCTGACCTTGACCTTTTTTCATGGTTCATTGGACAATGTTAAGTTTTTTCCAGTTTGGTCGATTTATAAGCTACTATAAGCAATAGGGTTGCTATATTTGCTGAATGGAATAATTGTATGATGTCTCTCTGGCAGATTTCATCTGACCTTGACATCATTTTCATGGTTCATATTGGTCAATGTTAAGTTTGCATAGTTTATGTTAATCAGATACTACAAGCAATAGGTCAACTATAAATGGTTTATGGAGTGATTGTTATTTGAACATGTCTGTCTGGCAGGGTCCATCTAACGTTGACCTTATTTTATGGTTCATTAGTCAATGTTAAGAATTCAGGATAATTTTCGTTTCTCAGATACTGTTAAGATTTCATGATTATTTTATTTTCTTGGATACAATACGCAATAGATCAACAATATTCGGTGTATGAAATGATTGCATGTTGTTCGTGTTGTCTGATAGGGTTCATCTGACCTTGACCTCATTTTTATTGTTTATTGGTCAATATTTAACTTTCGTAATTAGGTTGGTTTCTAAGATACTTAAGCAAAAGTCTAACTATATTAGGTATATGGTATGTTTATGAAATGATCAAATGCAGGCGAGCAATTTCAACGTGTGCACTCTTGTTCGTAAATCATATTTTTTATGTATCTGATCTTTTTCTTCTGATTGCAGATATTGAATGTCTTCAGGATAATGCTGCTTTTATGAATACCTCATATTTAGAATTTAGAACCCGACCGTAAGTCCTCTACAACCATAGAGCGTTTTTTTTTAATTCTATATGTTAAAAAATGATAACTTGTTTTTTTTTTAGATTTATTTATTTTCATTATAAAACCATCAATTTAAGCTATTTCCAGAAGCCAAACATAACGCGCACATCAAAAGATCAATGCAAAGCTATATGAAGCTGATAATGGTTCGTCAAAAGTATCAACAAAAATATGAGGGAAATTCTTTTGAAAAAGTCAATGAGTTGAATCCAAACATGACAAGAATATTTCTTTCGAAGGTTTTAAACTTAGATATTTTGGTGACGTTTTACAACCATACGGTAATTGTCCTGTCAGTCTCATGTTATTGAAATATTAAGGTTTTTCTACTTCCTGGAATAGATGTTTTAGCTGAATTTATGTGGTTTTCAATGATCTTCACATTCATAACTAATTTTACCTTCCAATTAATTTGATTTAAGCTCTACCGATGACTCTGATGTAGACGAAATGTCGTTTTTGTAATAAATTATTAGTCTGATATCTGAGTATATACTACAGTATTCACATGACGCAACAATATACATAATTTATCTAAAGAAAAGATGCTTTTACTGAAACAGCAATCACACAATCCAAATATCATTTATTCTAAGCTCACTATATTTATGATTTGGATAGGTTACCAGAAAACGATAAATCAGTACTATCGTTTGGGGACAGATTGAACAAAGCAAAAGACATTATGGATTTTGGTAAAAGAGGTAACTTACTCATCCTTTGTTAACATTATGCACATTATCAGCACTGAGGTTAAAATGGCAACGTTTTTCTTTTGTTCTTCAAAATTTTATTAAAAAAAAATTGGAAATAATTTTGCATTTATTTATGTTCCATGGTTTATTAAAATATATACACACATAAACATAAAATATATATTTATACATTTGCTATAAGCAAGAGAGGATATTTTGAGTAAAAAACAAAATTACATTGCCATACAAAAATCTGCTTACCACAGTGCAAAATGATGAAGGTACAACTCTCGAGACACATACGGATTGGTATTAAATTGAATATTTCCTGAAAAATTCCTGTATAAGCTAAGTAGTATTGAAAAGTTAAGTCGGAATAAATCGTTGGAATCCAGAATTATTGTTGCGTCATTAGTAGTCAGCGCAAGACCGTTATCCGTAGAAGTGACGTCGCCTTTACAATTTTTTAAATTTAATAAAAATGCAATTCATATAGTTCTTCAAATCTTAATAAGACCTCACTATCTGAAAGCAATTTTTTTCCCAAAAAATTCATAATTTGATAATCAATGTTTAAATATTTTGTTATAATCTGCAAGTTACATAATATATAGATAAGAAGTGCAATGCAAGTTTTTTTTATACGATGCATTTATGTTACAGGTAGAACATATAGGCTTCGGTGTCTTTACTTTACTGTGGCGATACTTTTAATCATGATTGTTATTATTCCTCTCTACGGTAAGTATAAACTGTAATTGAAAACACGTTACAAAGATAGGTTTTTTTTTTGTGTGAATTTTACAAAATAATTCATGTAATTGCTTTATATGCCGTTACCCAAGACATATTGCGGGCAAAGCTGAATGACATATCAAAGGTCATCGGACAGCTTACAAACAATGTTAAATTTTACAAAAGTTATTAAATTCCATAAAATTGTTTAGGTAAAAAAAAAGAAGATTATTTTCGGACCTGTTGATTAAATTACAATACAATCAATATTCAGATTTGCATTACCGTTAAAATCTTATTGGATACACACTATACGAGCATATTTATTTTTTAAACAAACAAATATTTCTATCCCAAATTGATATCCGCACAATCATAAATTTAGACTATAAATTCTAGAGAAAAAAAAACTGTGAAGTATCGAAGTTATTGACTGAACCTGATTAGTATGCGATCAAAGACTTCGATCATGGTACTGAAATTTGTCCAAGGCTCTTTTGCATATGGTATTATGATTTGTGTAACGACACAGATAAAAGATACATATGAATGTAATGAAATAATATCGCATTTAAAGACAAATATTTCGAAAAAAAACAAAACAAATGGCCTTACCAGATCTGATCTTGAATAAGCTGTTAGTTTTCTCAATTTAACTGTTTCATAGTTTTCATGTCGGGGCCTTTTATAGTTGACAAAACGGTATGATTTTTTCTTATTGTTGGAACACTTACGATTGCCTATAATTGCTTACATCCGCTTCATTTGAACTTTGGTGGAAACTTGTCTCATTGGCAACCACATTACAAGTAAAATCAACATCTTTTCGTAATGATCAAATAGCTTACCATGATAGAATTGGTTCTTGCAATTTTCTAATATAAACAAAAAAACGGGAGATATATTTTGAACAAAAGTTTTTACCCTCCATTTAGGACGTTTCATGCCCAGCCAACGATAAAAGGGGTTATGTTTTCCGGTGTGTGTATCAGTCCATTTGTTGTTGTCAGTTGGTCCGTATGTCCGTCCCGTATCTATTACCAACAGAAAGTTTTATACATTCATAAATATCCGAATAATGATATCAGTAAATCGTCAACGTAAATTAGTTAATAGTCACAATATGTAGTGAAGTTGTTATAAGCCTTCTTAGAAAACAAATGAGCTAGTGAAAAGGGAAAGGGAAAAAGACGACAAATTGAAATTGTCATTTTTGTCGTATATTTTATTTAAATTTTTCCATTCATTACCATGGTGAAAGGAAATAACGTCTTTTTCTGCTCTGCATCTCAAAGTAACAGCGGTGACTTCCTTATCTGCGAACAACATTCAAAGTATTTTCCTTCGTCAATAATATTCTGTTGACAATTCAGAAACTCTTACTTTTACGATACTTTGTGACGTTGCTAAAATAGCTTCACTCACTATTTTTTTGCTGAAGTTGTCTAGAATATATATAAAGAAAGCATAGTGATGTTTCTCCCAAAGGTTTAACGATTTTAGATATTTACTGGCCTCAAACAAATACTGCAGATTTTATTTAAATTTTATGAGGAGTCTTCATATGGAACCTGCGAGGAGAGTTGTTTCTGATTTGTTTTTTGCTCCGTGTTGAAGGCCTCAATGTGACTTTGAGATGAAGAACAGCAATAAAGCGCTGTTATTTTTATTTTGTGTGTGTTGTTTTGCTGTGACTGTACTGATTTTGTGTCAGCGATGGATACCCCCCATCTACTTGGTTTCTCTATTTAATAGGCAAAGGGGAAGTTTGTGTGCACGTTAAACTGGTCTAATCCTAAGACTTTTTGTGCCTAGTACAAGTCAGGCTATCTGGATCATGTGTTGTTCGTTGTTGTTTGTATGTCTGGTTTTTTTTTTGGAGGAGTCGGGTGTTGGTTGTTGGTGCTGTCTGTTGCACTGTGCGATTTTTTTTGCGATTTCTGTTATCCATTGAATGTACTATTTCTGTACTTATTGTGGTTGGTATGAAATCTTCTATATAATAAAGCAACCAATATCAAGTGTGTAGGATTGCAATAGGTTAATTACATTGAGCCTGCTTTCAATAAATCCGAGCATTCTTAAATACTGTAAATTGATTATTTATTGTTTTGCTTTTATACTGTTTTACTGTTATTTTAGAGTTGCGTGCTTTTCCTGAATTAGTCTTATTATAGGCCATATGTGCGTATGCACATATCAAGATTAAAAACGGGAGTATAGAGATCAAAGCAAACTAGTTAAAGCCCAACAAATTTCATTTACCTGTCAAAAGTCTGGAATCTCATTATTAGTTGTAGATTCCCATTTTTATTTTTTCATTTATTTAGAGCATTGTATTGCTACTGGTAATTGAATTTAACTTTTGAAGACTAGAGTCGATGTTGAGCTTGACATATCAAATATACACCTATATATTGTTGATTACTGAAAAATAACCCATCGAGATGCATGTTCTTCGGTTATTCTTGTCATTAACATATACCCTACATTTTTTATTTTTGATATAAATGACTAATTTTCATGTTCAATGCATAAATTGCTATCCAGTAAATTACATATATGTTCTAAAAATAATTATGTTTTTGCATTGGATAAGTATGTTTTTACAAAAAACGTCTTTACACAAATATGTTGATGCATACTGATTTGAGTGTGGGGAAACATTGTCAGACAGACTAAAATCCTGCAACGTGAACTTTTTGACACGTCGCCACAGATTTGATCCATATACATAAACTTTGAGTAGAAGTTGTATAGAATTTTTATACAGGAGGCAATGTAATGTTTTGATCAAACTACAAAGGCCTACCTGAATCTATCAGACCAGTCTTAAGATGACACTTACTTAGAATCTCGCTCAGTACAGTATGAGCCTTCTTTGGTTCATTCACTACTATTAATCCCTAAACGATTTCTAAGTACTGATTTCCGTTTACCATTTACTGATATCATTATTCATAGTTTTTTGAATTTGTGGTTTGTTAATAATCCGGTATTCCGTTGGCCATACTATACCATGCACACTCTTACTAAAGAAAATCACAATTCTACGAGTATTGTCTTTTTCATTTCCTTCTGACAAACATTTTCCTAACGAGGCAAACAATATTTGCATCTGTTTTTCTTTTGGAAGATTCATACAACCATTTTCCTGCTAGTTATGTCTGATTGTCCACATTATGTGTAGCTGAGCTGTCGCATATCAAAATCGTCTTCCTGTTACCTTCACTGACATCATCAAATGAAAAGTTTTACCGGGTTATTAATTGAAGAGCAACAAGACAGGTGCCTCCAGGGTATCAGTAACTGATAACTATTTCCGAGTACCTGAGTTCATAAAAGTGGTTTTAGTGCTTTCAAAGACTTAAGTTTGTTTTTTTTTCTTTTTATATCTGCTTAACCTTTTCATATTATTCTTAAAATGCAAACGAGTAATACATAATATAAAATACTGTATAATCTAAAATGTCTTTTCAGAATACATTGATTTTTGGTTTGACAGTATTCACAGTTGTGAATATTCCTCAAAAGATAAATTGAATCCTCCTATTATAAAGGTTATCACTCAAACAAACCAGTCTGAGAAGGTATATATAGGTGTTTAGCATTTTTGAAACAACTGTATTCAATATCATTGATTTTTCAAACATTTCTATTTTTCTAGAATAATGTTTTTAACAATTGGAAATATATTCATTACCTTTAGAACAAAGTAGAGTTTTTTCGACCAATGAAATATGAGGATTTAATGATTGTTAATTTGCGGTGAATGTACATGTTTGTAAACATGTACTAGTAAGGGATTGTCCTGTTGTTTACTTACGGTTCATTAAAACTGAATATAAAAAGTAAGGTGATGTTATACAATTGCTTATTAGACAACTATTTACTAGATACTAAAGACGTAGATGTAATCATCTATAGGTAATTTCACGACCTTCAACAACAAGCAAAGCACATGCTGTATAGTTATAAAATGCAATGGCTTAACAAAATGTGAAACAAATCAAGCGAGACAAAAATGGCCTGATTTATTCAGCACTTTAATCAGCTTCACTGTATTTAACTGGATTTCTGATTCAAAATGATTAAATGATGAATTTTGATAACAAACAACTTAAAATAGAATGCAATTAGAAAGAGTATCAATACCACTAAGACTCACTTAACCTCAAAATTACTTAACATAAAACAAAACAAGAAAAAAAATGGAAAAATCTCAATAATGAAATACAACCTGAACATTAAGCTAAAATGATATCATGTAACTCAGTTTGTGTACAATTAATTGGTAAGAATACTCTTTTCAAGTATTCCAATACATAACTATATTTTTAGTTTTATGAAAGGCAGACTATTTCTTTTTAATTTGAATTTGAACATTTAAATAAGGTTAATGTCTTCGGAAAAAGCAGTAATAATTAATGTACAATAAAAGGGGAAAAGTGGCATTGGATGGGAACTTAAATGAAGATTTTTGAATTATCTTAATTTTAACTGTAAAAGAGAGGCGGAGGATACCAAAGAGACATTCAAACTCATGATTCGAAAACAAACTGACAAAGCCATGGCAAAAAACCAAAAACGGTTAAAAGACAAATAACAGTCTACAAACACAACAATTAAAACCAGATACTGAGCAACGCGAACACAACAAAAAACAGGGAATGATCTCTGGTGATCCGAAAGGTTATTAGATCCTGCTCCACATGATATCTGGCGTATCACTACTACAAAATACTTAGGTAAGTTATATCGTGTCATTAGTCATAACGCAATAACGGATTGGTAATTGACTCTTCAAAATCGTAAACCATCGGTCATGTATATTTCTAACCTTGAAACTTGACCAAATGTGAAATTTGAAAATGAAATACGTTTTTCGTGACACATGAATGTTATCGATATAAACAACACAGACATTGATAACATAAAAAGCAAGCACGAATACAACACTAAAAAACTAAAGCTAGAGCAATACGAATCCCTTTTAACAAAACTAGGGGTGATTTCAGGTACTCTTTTAGTGTCACGTTAGTAAACTTTCCCCCTTTTTAAATTTCCCTTGGAGTTCATTAATTTTTTAATCCTTTTTGTTATCAACTCGATGACAATAGCACAATAACATAATGGCGGGATGTATAAGTACCGAAACTTTACCACTAAAAACACTATCATGTTTGTCAGAACTCAAAGTCTCATGACCAGATATCCGTAAATCAATTGAAATATTGACAATAAAAACATTGATTTCATTTATCATTGAATGCGTTTGTGCTGAAGAATTGTTACAGTATAATAAAAAATGTTTAGTATCTTCATTGTTAAAACCACATAAACAATTAGCATTTTGTACAAAGTTTGCATTAAACAAATCAGATTGAAGAGTGCTACACCGGTTTCGCAGCTTTACATGTAATACAGATTGTACAGATCTCCAAAGTAAAAATAGCTTGGAGATTTTTTTATTCTTATAGTATAAAATATGCAATTTGCCTTTAAACAATGAAAAGCTTGTAATTTGTCTAATATTGATATCTAAAGTGTTCAATAAAGCTACTGATGATGGGTGGGGGTGGAGGAGGGACCGATAAACAATTCACTTATATAGTGATATGGTGTCTGTTTTGCAAATTATAGTTACAATTATCAGATAGAAATTCTGAATAAAAGTCATGTAGATAATCTGGATCCTGAATGTTAAATGAAAACTATTATCTGTGCAGTTTCAAGGTAAATGAAATAATTGTATAGGAGTTTAAGATTATTAGTATAGTAAACATTGCATGAAATTTACGAATTTTAAAAATATTTGATAAAGTATGTATTTACAGTACATGTCTTTATGAAAATAAGATGGTGAGGTATAAATTAGAGGGAAATAGCTCTCTCATGAAATAACAATAGAACCAATAATTTAAAAAAATCCTTTTTTTGTATTGTAGATCAATATTTTAGATGAAGCCAAAAAAACATCACCAAGAATTCCCAAGCAGAAGCTTACAACGCAATCAGACGAAGGTTGGAGTTTTAAAATGATAAAAATAAGACGTGGGGTATAGGTCAATGAGACCGCAATCTAATAACACATTGGAACAAAATCATCTAAAGGTTGATATTTTACAAGTAAATAAACAATATATCAAGACCTAAATCGCAGACTAGATAATTGATGAATGCATATATCAGAGACTGTCATCGGCACAAACTTTTGTATGATTCGATATAAACAAAAACTTTTCAGATTTTGCTTAATCCTTTAAACCATTCAAATTTTTGTTTTGTCCTATAAACAGTTCATGTTTTCAAAATTTCATATAGATCATATATAAGGGAAAGAAAACATACATGTATTGATGGTATATGCATTTGATAATGTTTTGGTGTGAAACAAAAAGATATTCTCCAAACTGCCTCCTTATAATACCTTATCGTAAATTATGACTCATCATATCAATTTTTTTTCTCTCATTGTAATGTCGTTTGAATAATTCAAAATATTGCTTGTAATTATTATTTCGAGAACAACTGATTTTCTAATTGTTCATTCGTTTTGAGAAATGCTTTTAATCAAAATTAAACAATAAAAGAGAGACGAAAGATACCAAAGGGATATTCAAACTCACAAGTCGAAAACTGACAATGCTATAGAAAAAATCAAAAAACAACGAAAAGACAAACAACAGTACACGAAACACAACATAGTGTAATCAAGTTGATAAGCACACCTTTAATAAAACAAACTTGTAAAATTATCGGATTTTTTTCGGTACACACCCGGAAATTATCAATACATTCGATATTTTTACATTATAAGTTATTTATAAAGTAAGCAAGATTTCAACACATGGCATATTTGTACCCGTATACTTATCTCTTGGTATGTATAAGGTGCAACTTTCAATTTGCATTACCCAATTCTTTTGATATTCTTCATAGACAGGCAGTTCAATAAGTTTTCCCTTGATTGACTCATTAACAAGTGACAATTCATTCCATTAGTGAAAAAAGATAATTAACTACGTACCTTGTTTATAAATCTTGACTGCTGTAGACATGGTAATTCTAAAAACTCATACAAAATATCGGATTGGAGCTCCGTTTACATCAGACTAATCAGGTGAGCTTAAATAAATTATCTTGAAGAACAAATCAATTCCGGAGTTGAAAGGCTCTCAAAACCAAACACTCTAAAAATTGTTCCAAAGTCTAGCATAAGCAATCAAAGTAGAAAAACATTAGTGTTTCAAATGATTTAAACATTTTATGAACTGTTTTTACAAATTATGGCAGAATCCATGATATTTAATGTCAGCGACGGGCGCTTATTCCTGGGCTGGTGATACTGGAATAATTCTATTGACCTGTTAAGTCTTATAAGCCTGGTATCTTTGATGAGTTTTTTACAACCCTTACGGTGAATGTGTCCTCTCCAATGGTATCACCAGCCTAGCAGTCAGCACTTCTGTATTGACATGAATTATTACTGATATTGTCATATATATGAATTAATTGTTCGAAAAACTAAGGATGTTTTGTCCTAGGAATAGATTACCTTAGCTGTATTTGTCAAAACATTTTGCATTTTGACCCTCAATGCTGTTCAATTTCGTTCTTTATTTGACCTTTTAACTATTTTGATTCCAGCGTCACTGATGAGTCTTTTGTAGACGAAACGCGCGTCTTGCTGTACAAAATTATAATCCTGATGAGTTGTTTTAAGGGGAAAAAATAACCAAGTACGTGTAACCAAATGCCTTGGTCATAACTTCGTCATTTCATTTGACCCTTATATTGAGTAAAAATAATTGTTTTTATAAGTTATCAGTTTAAAAGGAATTGTAAACACGCCAGAATGTAAAAGATGCATACGTTTTACTTATTTAAAGCATATTTAAACTATTTATTTTCAGACTACAAGACTTTAATCTAGGCAAAAATTCAGATCATTGATATAAAAATAAGGAGATGTGGTATTATGCGTTTATCAGATAGTACTTTTCATTTTTTCGTAGATTTTAAAATTGGAATTTGTGAGATTGTATCTTTAAAACAAATTCTTACAATTACCTAATCAGTTGTCATTTTCATTTTCTTCTGGTCTTTAATTGATCAAATCATCAGGTATCACTTGCTTGCAACTTATGTATTCTATATATTCAAACTACATACGAATGATAAATGAACATTTATGATCTACATCCTGTCGATACCTATATTTTGGTGTTTCACAAGTGAAATTCACTTTTCATTAAGCATACTGCTTATTCTTAAAAAAACAATGCAGTCTGGTGTTGGATATATCAAAAATTGCATGTTGAAAAACTGAATCATATTTCGTAAGGATAGAGAATAGAAACAGGGAACTTGTCGAAGAGACATCAAACTTGATCAAAGAGCAGTAAACAGCCCATAGCCAGTAATGGGTTTTCAACGCAGCGAGAAAATCCCGCATACGAAGGCGGGCTTCAGCTGGCCCCTAAACAATAATGTAAACTATTTGGACGCCGCACTAAACTCGTATACATACAAATGAGCCAAAATTTAAAAAGAACACAAAAGACCAACAAAGGTTAGAGGTTATTTACCCATATACAAAAACAAATGTTGGAGACACGTGAATACACCATTTATAAAATGAAAACGACAGTAAATCTTCTCTCTCCAAATTATTGGAATTAAAATTATCTCATTTAGTTTATATTTAACTTATTATTATAACGTTCTTTGTCATTACTAGTCACTGACAACTAATTGAACAATGAATTCCATTATTCTTAATTCAAAACACAATATTGACACAAAGTGCCAAAATTGGACACACTATAATTAAACCTCAGCAATTATGTTAAATACCACCGAAATATCTTTTTAATAAATTTGTTCATACAATTCTGTCTTTTTCTTGTCTTAAAAGACAGAAAAGAAAAAAAAAACAGACTAACAGACAAAATTGACTTAATCGGTACAAACGTTGGTTTTCTTTCAGAAAAATTAAAACATAACTAAATATATATTGCTATATATGCACAGTAATGAGAACTCATGATCTGACATCCTGTCGCTAATATTTACTTATACTTTGGCATTGCACGAGGTTTTTCGTTTCTCAGACTGTTATTGACATCTAAATCCGTTAGATGTGTACTGGTTGATACTTTAGTCTGGGTGAACCTAACTTGTTTTAATGTTAGTTCTTTTTGTGCCTCGTATCGATCTTTTGAGTTAAGCCAATTGCTACTCTTTTTGACAGTTTGTTCTTATGGTGTTCTGTCCAATGTTAAGGGGAGTATAGAGCGCTCACAAACATGTTTACCTCCCTCCAAATTCTGTATGTTCCTGTCCCAAGTCAGAAGCCTGAAGTTCAGTGACAGTCGATGTCTGTCATATTTTTTTCTCGTGGATTGTTTTGTTGTAAATTAGGCCGTTAGTTTTCTCGTTTGAATTGTTTGACATTGTTAAATGCCGTAATGTGGCCTATAATTGCTTACATCCACTCTTTATGAACACGTCATTTCGTTGCGGGTGGATAGTTGTCTCATTGGCAATCATACCACACCTTTTTTTATACTAACAATCACTCTTGACTCCCACCCTACTAAGAGGGAAAGAAACTTTAGATCGGTGACATTATTTCAGGTGCCAAAGACATTCTCTGGAAATACAAATTTTCTCTTCCTGACGCTATCTACTTGATAAGAAAAGGCATTAAATGACACCTGACTCACAGTTTAGTACTTATTGAATTTGTGTATAAATTCTTCACTATATTAAACCAAAATAAACATTAACATATCCAAAGTATTAGGTACATTGTTTAAGTTATACATGCTCATTGATAAGGAATTGAATTAGTCTTTGGTCCCATGAAAAGTGGAAAAGATGTCATTTTAAACTCTATATAAATCATTTTCTCACAGATATCACTGATGCTGTTATTCTTCATGCTGACGATGACAGACAACTAGCATAAGAATTCATTCATAATATGGAGGCAGAATTTCCAGAATTAGAACTGAATTTTAAAATATTTGAACAGTTGAATATAGGAGAGCGTTTGTTTAAATCAGCACCACTTATGTTTAGAACCTGTAGATACTTATTTGTGTTCGTGACAACAAAATTTGCACAGGATGATCTGCCGAGATTTGTGAATGAGATCCTATTGATAGAAACTATTACATTTAAGGACAAATGCAACAGATTGATACCGATATTGAAGGATAACTGTTATCTTCCAGAGTTAACTCCCCTTATTCCTTTAAAGTACAATAGATATTTGGAGGGCAAATCTCAAAATAAGGAAGATAGCGTGTTTTTAAGTGGTTTTAAGAAATTAGTCATACATGGGAGGAAATCTTATTTGACATAACATCTTGTTGGTAAAGAAGAAATTATAAATGATCATAAATCTTGTTCTGTATTTAAATACTCGTATATGATATTCTTATAGTAGTTAAGATCTGGATTTAGATGAAGAAGCCGGTCACTCGTTTAATTGTTTGGAGATGAGTGTAAAGCCTATTTTGGAGCTTGTTCATTAGTTTTTACAGTATGGTGTGTTGGTCTACAAAATCTCTTATTATTAATGTTTGGAATTTTTCGAAATTTTTCTCCTTGTGTGTATTTTAGTCGACAAGGTCCGTGTGAACATTTGCAGTCACTTTGCATACATCATCTATCAAACTGTTCTTTCAAAATCGTCTCTCCTGAAACTGCACAATGGATTGAAATCAAAGTTGTCAGCTTCATCTATAGGATGTCTAATGTGAAGTGTGGGATTTTCGTTGAGGTTGATCAACCATCATGGAATATAACATCAATGTAAAACTTCAGTGTTTGACTAATATATCGAAAACTAAAATAATTAGAGAAAATCATACAGGGTTAACAATTTTCAGCACAGCAAGCTCTGTCTACCCTGTACATTGTACAAAAACCTGTCAAACCGTTTTGAGTTCTTGCCCCTGAATTGTTGGCAGTTCTTGGTTAATGTTTCTCAAACTATAGGAATTTAAAATTAAAAATTTTGGCAGTTTTTTACTTTTATCCTGGAACTATGATATCTAGGTTGAAAGTGAAAATTGCCAAAATTACCAGCAGGACATGATCTATCTAGAAATTTTTTAAAATCTGACAACCTGTTTTGGAGATGTTGCCCCTAAAATGTATATATATTGATTTTATAAACTTCCAAAATTTAAAATCATATTAAGATGTTTGAATCCCACTGAAGGAATAACAACAAATTTTCTAACGCAACATGGTCGGGCTGAATACGAGACGAAGTATATGCAAGTTATGAAGTTAGTCCTGTATCACCATGGGTTATCCGATGTCCTAAAGTTGTCACAGTGTAGTTCGTGTTGCAACGAGGTCACAAAAGCAGGGGTTCGAATCCCGCTGAGGGAAGAACAAAAAATAATGATCAAGACTCTACTGTACTATTATATATCAAGAATGTGGTACTTGTATATACTTTAAGATGAGGACATTTTGCAAAGAAATTATGTAGATCCTTACATTTTGACAAAGTATATGTTTCTTTATTACCATGTTTCCAATACTAGTAAATATATGTTAATCTGAAATGCTACAACAAATTGATTATGGGTGTTCCATTAAAACATACAAGGTATAGGGGACAATTTTATTCTCAAATAAGGGAACTAACATTATAGTATATAGTAAAACCACCCATAGTAGGAGCTTATATTATGAATATAAGCGTTGTTTATTCAAGACACATCATATGGTGCATGTGTGTAGCACATGATTGGCACTGATATGCCCTAGGATGCATCAGCACTCCTTGTTTGGTCATGATGCATGCAGTGATACAGACCCTTCTCAGGTTTCCCCAGGATGCTAGGTAGTTTTCAGTTTAAGTTTTGCTGCTGACAGGGAAAGTCATACATTAGTTTTATCGTAAAAAGTAACAAATTATCGCTTTCAAAGTTAAATATTGACTTTATCGTATGTTTATTACGTTTCAATTGAAATAAAAACTTCTGTCTTCGTATATATATGTAAGTACGAACTGAAAGAAACTTTGCGCCTTAAACTGTTTATAATTCACGGATTAATAAGAGATTTGACAGAAACATTTACGTGCATCTTTTTCGTAAAATATGGCTTCCTGACGCAAGTCTAGAAATCATACAGTTTCAAATACACAATTGGTCTTAAGTTGTCCAGAAAATTGGACATCTCAACAGTTAAAAAAAAGTTGCAACTGTTAGGAATGGCCGTACAAAAAAATGTTCCAAAATCCGTTTTGAAACAATTTTATTTAGAAAACAAAGTTAATTCCGAAAACGAAGAAACACTCGTTATACCTATGCAAACCGCAGAGAGGAGTTCGGACAGAAGAAACCGTTGATATCCCGACAGAAGTATTACGCAATCCTCAAGTTGAAGAAAGAAGCACGCGTAGCGATACCATTAACGCCTCAACCGGAAGTATGCAAGTTGGAAGCGTGGGTGACAACAACATGGCCGCTATCATAATTCAGCGTAGTGTCAGAATCTTTCGCACAAAAACCAACGGAAAGTATACATGCTAAGAAATTTACTGGCGCAGTAGTACCAGAACAGAAACATGGAAAATGTACCCCTCACTGGGCACGGAGCTGTACAGAGCCGTCCTACACCACCATCTATTGAATATGCGTTAACTAACTCGACAGGAGTCAGATCGGATTCATATTCAAACGTTGATATAGTAGTGGAGCGGCAAATGTTGAAAAAGACGCTGGTTAACGAGTTTAGATAACCTAAATACATGGAATATTAATGTCTTAAAATACCTATCGATTATTCAACTTCAAAAAATTATTTGTCATAAATGTCAATGTGGTGGCAATGACGTTAACAACGACGTTACCAAATGGTCATTGAAGACCCTACTGCTGTTTCGATAGACTAATCTCATAATTAACCCTTTTCTAAACATGATTTGTGAACTAAATTGGTTAATATGGTTACTCTTGAACTTTATACATTATAAAGGCATTTAAGTGCTATATTTAAAGCACAGATCATCTGAAAATTGTGGAAAAAAGCACAATAGAATCACTGTTTTTCACCTAGCATTATTTGCACGTGCAATAAATGTGTATTTTAAAGCCGTCGTATACTACTTCAATCGACCAGATTTCCTTTTTAAACAAAATTAGTATTAAGCAAGATAATTGTTTAAACATCTGTATTTTATCAGAATTTCAATTCCGGATAGTTGTCATACATGAACCGACACTGTTCTGGTTTCTAGTTATAAGCCCACATAAGGCAATTTTCGATGGTCATTTTAAGGACGCCATCACGAGTTGGTTGACCGTTACTGAATATTCGTTTCACAGATGATAGCGGATATGTTCCTAATGTCGTAACTACATTCCCGTCTTTTTTCCCGAATGCGACCTACCGAATTAGACTTATTACCGGGATTGTACTAACATGAGCAACACGACGGTAGCCACATGTGGAGCAGGATCTGCTTACCCTTCCGGAGCACTTGAGATTACCCCCAGTTTTTGGTGGGGTTTGTGTTGCTCAGTCCTTAGTTTTCTATGCTGTGTTTTGTGTACTTTCGTTTGTTTGTTGATCTTTTTCTTTTTTAGCCATGGCGTTGTCAGTTTATTTTCGACATAGGAGTTTGATTGTCCCTTTGGTATCTTTCGCCTCTCTTTTGCAGTTAACTTGTTAACTTTAGAATTTCTGAAGGTCTGCAGTTTATTTATGTTGTTAGGTATTGTTTATTAGTCGTGTTTGTTGAGTTTAACCGTAAAAGTGACAATTATTGTAGAGTGCGTTTGGTTCTCAGGTGTGTTCGATTTGTTGGATATTCAAGTAAAAGAACAATTACACTCGTTCGTTAAAACTGACTCCGTCTGATGCCAAGAAAAAATGATCTAAATTTGGAGTTGACACATACATTACCTGCAGTTTTGTATTTGCTGAAATTTTAAGGAAAAGCAACAGTCTAGTAAAAAGTCGGCTTAATGCTGCGGCAGTGATCAGACGTGATGATTTATTTATTTATTTCAATGAACTATGTAATGATAAGTAAACTGATTCAACCATATTTAGGTGTCACAGGTCTACACAAGTTAACAGAATTTGAAATCAGTAGCACGACTGGAAGCACCAGATATGAAGCCAGATTTATCAAATTTTTTGTTGGTTGAGAGAAATGTTGACCCGACCTCTCGATACATTAAAGTTTTTAATTTGCAAGAAAATGTCTTATGGAAAGTGAAAACATTACATACCATGCTGAAAAATTAGCAAATCTAAATGATGTTGCTGTTAGAGCATATGTCGCTGATGTGATATAATGAATAAAGCATCAGAATTTGCTCAATAACGCAGTTTATCATGCTGCATGTTTGACCTCATGTTTAACACAAAGACCAAATTATACAAAGAGTAGTTAGACTCACATGGCGTGCCAATTTTTGGATTGGCAAAATTTTCCTACACCCAAACGTTGCTTTTACAGAGTGCACGTACAAATGTATTACGTATTGCTTATTTTGCAGGATTCACCATCACTTTCTGCATGCTAATATTGTTAAAAAGCATTTGCAAAGAGAACATTGAGAAGTAATCCACTTATAATTAAAGTGAAGTAACCTATTCTAAGGTAAGTAAATAATTATGATGCAGGGATTTCTTCAACATATATATTGAAATTCTAATTATATATGATGCTAACAATTTGTACTATTTGTGAAGTCAGTGTGCTTTTGCTTTACTGTAATGCATGTGTTTATTTTAGCTTTACTGTTAACCTTTTGCTTGAAAATACACGTACAACAAAATAAATTGAAAGATATACAATGTTTCATGTGTTTTTCTTGTAATAACATTAAGATTTATCTCTCTTCAATTTTTATTTATCTCCATTTTATATGAACCATCAAACATTTTTTCAATATAAATTTATATAAGACTTAAAACATGAGGAAAATAATGAGCAATTTATGTCATATCTATCTTTTTTCAATAATATTTAGGCCTTTATCAAATTTACTGTCATTTACAGGTTTAAATAAACTGTATTTGTTTCAGTTTGTACATGTATTTTGTGCTTTTCATGTAAATATGTTCTGTGTTTATGTTAATGTTTATGTTCATGTAAAATAGTGTCTGTACAATTTTTGATTTGCTTTATGTGCTAATCTTGCAGCTACAGCTTAGTATTCGGTAATATTAATTAACATGGCACATTTTCCACCACTCACATTCAAGGTTGAAAAACTTACAAATCAACTAGATTTTGATCTGTACACCAACAGTAGATTTTATTATAAATGTGGAAGTCAGAGAATTTTTCATAACTGGATATCAATATTATCACCAACAAACCATATAAATTTAACCAGCTTGATAAACAGGATAAAATCATTAATAAGATATTATAACAGAATTAAATCCAGCAAAAATATTTCAAGAATTTTGGCTTTTCTACAAAAAACTTTCCAATTACCCGTTCACAACCCTAAAGGCACTTTCAGTTAAGGAAAACAAGACAAGAGAACTAATTTATCAGCTGACAACTGTAAAAAGAAAACTATGGATAGCATCTTCAAACCTTCCAAAACTAAAACAGGCAAACAAAAGGAAAGAAAGACAGAATCTTAAATTAAAAAGAAAGCTAGGGACTGCAACAGCATCTCAATCTCCAAAACTGAAAACGCTGTCAAACCAACAGTCAACCGAAAAAAATTGGTGTTGGAAAAGAGTAGCCAATGCAATCTACAAAATGCAGACAGTGTAAAGTTGAGGGAAGAAATATCATTTTGGCAGACACAAATCTTGCAACAACAAAAGGAAGACCTTGCTCCAACATTAAAATTTAAATTGAAAGAAGAGGGAAGAGGAAGCCCCTACTCATGCCAAGTTAGGGAAGCTGTTTACAGCTGTCTGCAGTTCAATGTTTCACGAGAAAACATCTCACCACTAATTAAAGAAATTGTCCGAATTTTTACTGGAGTGGACATAACTACTTTACCAGATCCATCATCAATTAGTATAATGGCAAGAGAAGCCGGTATTTTGTCTGAACTACATTTAAAAGAAACTTTGTCGAACAGTAACAATTTAACCTTACTGCTGGATGCCACGACCAAGAAAGGACGCCATTATTATGATGTAATGCTATGTATAGACACACAAGATTTTACATTAGGTAATTTAAGCTCTGTTAGTTTAAATAGAGACAAAAGATACCTATTAGGGATATTCAAAATCATAAATTGAATTTAAACATAAAACTCCACTCTGAAGTAACTGTATTATAAAAAATCAATGTATGACTTTCTTTGAGATATAATTAGGGCCCCGCCGAATGGCGGACACCCTATAGTAATCAGTCTGTCTGTCCGTCCGATGCAAAGTCTGTCCGCTCTTTATTTAGAGAACCGTTATAATTTCAAAGTTTCATGTATATTAACCAACACCAGAGGGTGTGCCATAATTTATGTACAACTTCCTAGGTCAAAGGTCAAGGTAAAAAACTTGGGTTTTAGTAGACAAACCAACGTCCTATAGTAAAAATCGTGTCTGCTCTATATCTTGAGAACCGTTATGATGTCAAAGTTTATACTTGACATGTATATACACAAACACCAGAGGGTGTGTCATAATTTATGTACAAATTTCTAGGTCAAAGGTCAACGTCAAGGTAAAAAACGTTGGTTTCAGTTGACAACCCCATGTCCAACGATGTCAAAGTAGAAATTAAATACTGATTGCTTGATTTTTTTACGTGCTTATTCACAAGATTACAGTATGCAGGAAGATATGTCACCTTACCTGGATACATTATTCTAACTGTAAGACAACCAGTCCTCATAGGCGAATAAAGGGTTGGGCCTTGGCACCCCCTTTTTGTTTTAAAAATTTGGTTGATTATATAGGGAATCACTGAAGCATGACTGGATTGGGGCCCCTCTTAGGGCTGTCAGTGGGACCCCTTATGAAAATTTCTGGATCTACCTCTGTTCCTTAATGTTGCGTGCTAAGCGAAGAAGCAGCAAACACCAATTTTAAAGTCTTAGGTTTGACCCTGCTGGAGTCCAAAGCCACTGTTGGCAAACAGGCTACCACAAGACTACTGATGCAATAATAAAGAGAGGACACCATTAATATGGTATAGACCATGTTGAAAGGCTAGTCATACAGAAGTTGAACTACTTAGACCAATCTGCCACTGAAGCCCCAATACTGAACAACCAAAACTTCATTAAATACAGGGATTTATGATTCTACAACAAAAACTTTCTTTGAATGATTATTGGTGTTTAACACAACATTAAAAGGTTTTAAATATTGCGTTTAGCCATCAAAATCACATTATGATATCAGTTTTGACATGTTTAAGATATAAAAATCAATGCTGAAAATATACATATGCATACAAAGGGTGTGTTTTAATTTCTATATGTACTAAAGAAATTTCATGTGGTACTGCTGAACAATATACTGAAGCCACTGTTGAAATGCTTGATAATATTAGTTCACCCGAAAATCCTATCGTATCCAAAATATCAAATTTTATGACTGATACGAAATTTTTTATGATGACAAATCTGGAGATCCTGGCTTTTTACAACATTATTTAGACATGGTTGGAATTTCTCATATACCGATAATGAAATTTAAAGGAAACAGATTCAACACCTATTTTTACAATGCAGCTGGAACTTTTTCGATTCATCAACATCTTTTGCAAATATTTCTCTTCATCAAAAATTCGGCCGAATATTCTTCAAAATTCCATCATCCATTATACTTTCTATATGCCAAGCCATTGCTCTTGTGTGTCACCATTTAACAACACCATATTTTCATCTTGCTGCTTCAAGACCAACAGCCTTGCATATGTCTTCAGTCTACAACCAACTAATTTCAAGTCTTGAAAAAATTTCAGAAAAACCTCAACTTATTTTTGATAAAAATTTTAAAATATTTTCATTACAACATTTGGAGACCAAAAAAAAACAGAGAAACCGGATTTAGATTATCAAATATTCGAACAAACCGAAACTAGTAATCGGGACATTGTTTTAGAAGCCGCTCTACTTATTTGTTGTAATTTATTAACTAAAAGCAGAAAACTTTTTGGCGATTTTTTAAATGGTGGCAAATATTCAAACCCGTCAGAAGAAATGATCCTAACTTCAAAATCATGTCCAGCCAACAACATAACAAAAGAAAGACTAATGGCTCAGATAGATCGCCAAAAGACCATTGCTCCAAACACCAGCATTTCCACAATAAATTCAAAATTAATGTTTAAAAATAATGGCACAGCAGATTTGTTGAAAGAAAAAACGGAGGAACAGAAAAATACTCTCATAGTTAAATGCAGACAAATGGGGAAAGAAAAAAGACAAAGAAACATCAGAGATTTCATTAAAATTTATAATGAAAAATCAACAATTATTGAAGCCAGAATAAAAGAAAAGGAACTAAAGGAAGCCAAAATTCAAGCTGAAAAGGAAAAAATTATTTTAGAAATCAACAATTTAGGCGGAAAATGGACAAAATTAAACCAAATTTATTCTTTTATTTCAACTTGCAAAACCAAGAAGCTTAAAATAAATGCCATTAAAGCACAAATAACGTATCGCAAAGAAATAGAAATCCAAAAAGTTGATACCAATTCAAAACATCTTTTTAAAAAGTCTCTTGACCTTCCTGAGCTTACAGAAAATAAAAAAAAAAATAATACAGAGAAGAATCTGTAGAAGACATGGAAACCAATGCTTCAACAATTGCCAATGATAACCATGACAACGACTTACCAATGAGTATTGCAAGCGATAGCAACAACAATGTCACATGTATTATGGACACTTCCATACATGAAGTGCAAAATGACAACCTTCCAACAAACTATGTAGGCAAACATAAACTTCATATATGGGATGAAGGAAGCAACAAACTAACGGAGTATGATGGAAAACTTTTAGATTATAACAGCTCAACAATGACATTTAGGGTAATTTCCTACTTCTTGAATACCCTCAAGCGCATGTATTCATCAGCAATGTACTATGCACAATAATACTCCACACACATCATTTAATGTCTTCACACTCATATTGTATTCCATAAAACTAAATAATTTAACAGTTATAATGTTGGATTTAAAATGACTATGCTTACCCTAAACATGCCATTAGGATATAATCCTAGCAATTTTTAGTTTCACCATAACAATACATGTGATTTTATTTGAATTCACCAAAAATGAAATAGGAAATTAAATCATAAAACCAGATTTGGTTGGTTATGATTTATACTGCAGTCATTTTTTAACACATTTTATTACCATAATGAATAATTATTTTCCTTACTCCTAACAGATAAACACATAATTTTGAATTGATGCTTCACTAGTTATACTAATTGCAAGAGAATATTACTATTTTCCAAGCCTAAGTTGTATATCATAATAAGTTAAACATTAACTAGTAGTGAAAAAATTGTAACTTTAATGTTAAACTGAAGAAACACCCTGAAAAGTAGCCCATATGTATAGAAATGAGAGTTGTGCATGATTACCAATGGGTCAACTCTCCACCAAAGACAAAACAGAAGTTGCTGACGGAATGTTCTTTATTTCAATTACTATGCTTTTACATAGGTTCCACTTAGAACTACTAGTAGTATTTTAAAATATTTTCATTTAGGTTTCAAGCAAAAACAAAAAATTAATATTTAAAAAATAATTGAGAATGGAAACAAGGAATTTGTCATAGAGACATCAAAGATCAGAAAACTGCACAAGGCCACCAGTGGGTTTTCAACGCATTCAGAAAATCATGCACCCAAAGGCTGGCTTTAGCTGGCCCTAAACAATAAGGTACAATGTGTATACTTCAATGGTGAAATTCATGATTATATATCTACAGGTACAAACAGGTCTTTAAGATCTTGAAATAATTTACGCATAAGTGACAATTTGCATTATTGGTTCTTTTGTTATGGAAAACCTTGTTTGTCATTTTAGCTTTTCATTCATTACAGGTTGCATATTGGAACAGCAAAAAAGGACACAAAAAAGACTACGAAAATATGACCTTACACTGCAAGAATTTGAAGATGATTTGAAGAGTGGTGATCTAAAAATAATGTAGGTCAATGTGCTTTTATAAGATAGATTAATTTAAAAAAAAAGAGTTCACTCGATACATTTATGCGCTTCATTAAAAAAAGGATGTTTTGACATATTTTACTCAAAGTAAACTAGTTTTATCAAATTTTACTAATACTTCTAAATTGAAAATTTAATTACAATGAATAACAAAATTGCACAATGTTAGGGTGAACCTATTTTATCTATCCAAATTAGATATAAAAAAAATTGGTTCTTGTAATTGTGAAATGATATTTTTTTTTTTTTAATTATAGTATACAAAACTATTTACTATAATTGTAACATACCATTCATAGTTGATTTTATATATTCTTATTTTCAGTAACTAATTTCAAGTAACAGACTACAGAAGAAAAGTGCCATTTCATTACATGTGAGCAACACAAATAAACTTGAGTTACCTCTCTTTGATTAAACACTTTTAATGGAAAATGCCTACTTATCAGATTTTGAAAAGGTTAATACTTGATTTAAAATAGCCAACCAATGAAATTGCTGGGTGTTTTTAGACAGGTGAAGGTCATCAGATATTGATTATTTAAAGGAAACACATAGGTATTGGACTTGGATTTTTTTCCTGACATAGCTATAGTAGTGGAGCGGCGAATGTTGGAAAAGACGCTAGTTAACGAGTTTAGATAACCTAAATACCTCATGGAATATTAATGTCTTAAAATACCTATCGATTATTCAACTTCAAAAAGTTATTTGTCGTAAATGTCAATGTGGTGGCAATGACGTTAAAAATGACGTTACCAAATGGTCATCGAAGACCCTACTGCTGTTCCGATAGACTAATCTCATAATTAACCCTTTTCTAAACATGATTTGTGAACTATATTGGTTAATATGGTTACTCTTGAACTTCATACATTATAAAGGCATTTAAGTGCTATATTTAAAGCACAGATCATCTGAAAACTGTGGAAAAAAGCACAAAAGAATCACTGTTTTTCACCTAGCATTATTTGCACGTGCAATAAATGTGTATTTTAAAGCCGTCGTATACTACTTCAATCGACCAGATTTCCTTTTTAAACAAAATTAGTATTAAGCAAGATAATTGTTTAAACATCTGTATTTTATCAGAATTTCAATTCAAGATAGTTGTCATACATGAACCGACACTGTTCTGGTTTCTAGTTATAAGCCCACATAAGGCAATTTTGCGATGGTCATTTGAATGACGCCATCACGAGTTGGTTGACCGTTACGGAATATCCGTTTCACAGATGATAGCAGATATGTTCTTAATGTCTTAACTACAATCCCCTCCCTTTTCCCTAATATGACTTACCGAATTAGACTACCGGGTTTGTACTAACATGAGCAACATTACGGGTGCCACATGTGGAGCAGAATCTGCTTACCCTTCCGGAGAACCTGAGATCACCCCCAGTTTTTGGTGGGGTTCGCGTTGCTCAGTCTTTAGTTTTCTATGATGTGTTTTGTGTACTATTGTTTGTTTGTTGGTCTTTTTCTTTTTTAGCCATGGCGTTGTCAGTTTATTTTCGACTTAAAAGTTTGAATGTCCCTTTGGTATCTTTCGCCTCTCTTTTGCAGTTATTATCGCGAGAATTTTTTGTTAACTTTAGAATTTCTGAAGCTCTGCGATTTATTTATGTTGTTAGGTATTGTTTATTAGTCGTGTTTGTTTAACCGTGAAAATGACAATTATTGTAGAGTGCGTTTGGTTTTCGGGTGTGTTCGATCTGTTGGATATTCAAGTAAAAGAACAATTACATTCGTTCGTTAAAACTGACTTCGTTTGATGCCAAGAAAAATGCTATGAAGTTGGAGTTGGCACATACATTACCTGCAGTTTTGTATTTGCTGAAATTTTGAGAATAGCAACAGTCTAGAAAAAAAGTCGGCTAAATGCTGCAGCAGTGATCAGACGTGATGATTTATTTATTTATTTCAATGAACTATGTAATGATAAGTAAACTGATTCAACCATATTTAGGTATCACCGGACTACACAAGTAAACAGAATTTAAAATCAGTAGCACGACTGGAAGCACCAGATATGAAGCCAGATTTATCAAATTCTTTGTTGGTTGAGAGAAATGTTGACCCGACCTCTCGATACATTAAAGTTTTTAATTTGCAAGAAAAATGTCTTATAGAAAGTGAAAACATTACATACCATGCTGAAAAATTAGAAAATCTAAATGATGTTGCTGTTAGAGCATATGTCGCTGATGTGATATAACGAATAAAGCATCAGAATTTGCTCAATAACGCAGTTTATCATGCTGCATGTTTGACCTCATGTTTAGCATAAAGACCAAATTATACAAAGAGTAGTTAAAACTATAGACAAAGACCTTATTCGAGACAAAAAGTCTCTTGTTATTTTATCAATGTTGATAATGTATCAGTCTTTCTTACCAAATAACATAAATAAGACCTACTGGAATTACTCTAAACTCAAGGCTTAGCTGAAGAAGCACTATATGGATGCCGAAGTGTTCTTTTCTAAACAAGGACATGGTAAATCGAACATTTAATTTGCAAGCGTCGTTTCTATTAGCCCCGAATAATATCTTAGCAAAATCGAAAATTGTTTAATAACCGACAGACGGTAATGTTATCAGCTGTGAAGAGGTAGATACCACAATGATTTTTCATGCTGATGCTATGTTTGGTGGAAAAGACGGTAAGGATAGAATTGTTATCAAATCAGATGATACTGGTGTTATTGTTTTTGCTGTCTATTCTACCTGATGCTTAAAATTACAAAAGCAACCAACAATCAATCAATCTTAAAATTACAAAATTAAGAAGTATGTGTTCAGACTGGTTCAATTGACCGTTTAATGGATACCAGACGATTTTCCCAGTTCACGCCACCATTTCGTCTTTTGACCCACTTGTAACCGAAATTCTTCCGATCATTTATGCCTTGAGTGAATTTTAGTCCACTTCAAGTTTTTGTGGATTCGGTAAAAAGTCGGTATGCAAACTCCTTAGGACCAAAGCAAGCAACTTCAGTAATCTTGTAGCATTAGCACACGGAATGACACCAGACTCTCTAAAAGACCTTGTTTGTTCTTGTAAGGGGAAAGCATTGCAAGCAGCATGCGTTAACTAGGAGCAGCGACTCATTTCTAAAACAATATTACGAGAAAAATTACTCGTAAGTCATGAACATTTCAGAATAACTTACGATCAATTTTATTCGCAAGATTACTTGGTAAAAGAGTCGTAGGTGGCCTGTTGCAAGGCAAAATTCCCACGATCTTCTTCCCGGACGTACGCGTCCCATTGTATTTATTGTTAATGTGTTCTCGTCCTGAACATGCATGAAATATTTGCCACTGGACGTTAAGTAACCAACAATCAATTTTCTTGCACGAATTTATGTTTTGTCAAAATGTAGGTAATTGTAACAATGTATATGGCCGTATCAGCCGACATGGCTGATGACACAGATGACATATCATGCACATAATTTATTAGAAATAATTTCTAACTAAATTTGGGAGTTCCATGTTCATATCGTATGTGCATTTTAACTTTCTATAATTTTTCCGACGTTTTATTTTGTATATGAACACGGTCATGTCTTACTTTTTCAATTTGGTCATAAACCCCGTTTGCATTCATTACAGTACCGTCGAATGAAAGTGAATCGTAGTTGTCACTTCAATAACTCATGCTTTTTGTATCATCTGAAAAATTATCAGTGGGAATTGTTTTCAAGAAAACTTAGTGACATGTCGAATCCTGGAAAACTGAGACGAAATTTAACTTGCAAATGTTGTTGAATTTTATCAACAATGTAATTCGGATACTCTATTAATACCTATTATTCTCAAATGTATGTATATCTTGTCTAGAAATGCTATTTATCGAGTTCGAAGATTAAGGTCATTCTGTTGCAGTTATTTATTATTCTTTGAAATTTCCATCAAACGTGTTACTTTCGAAAAAGTTAAATAATACGTTATTCTGACGTCATGTGCAAATATGAAACACATCTAAGGCGGACCTTAAGCATTGATAAATAATACTACTTGTATAATTTATTAAATGAATTATTGATTTTCAAAATATCTGCAGTTTGTTTATCTAGATGAAAATGGGAATTGTTTTAATGATGACCTTTGACCTTGATCTAAGGCATGATTGCACCAGCTTGCATATTTACGACACATATTTTCAAAAAGTACACGATTTAAGCTTTCCAATGAGCTATCATAATGCCACGAAGTATGTAGGTAGTTTAAATTTCCAAAATTGTCCTCTCCGACGCTCCACTATAGTGGCACCTTCATTGCAACGTAGTATAAAAGAGGGTAAGAATGTTAATTTAGGTGCTCTCCTTATTCCCAATATTGAAGCTCCCTCGAGTCGTTCTGTAATCGCAAATGGGGTTCAAGTTAATGTGGCAAACAAACCCGACCCAAGATTAGATAGGAATCCTTCCATTCAAGAATTCATTCAGGCATTTTGGAAATATAAAAGAATAATGTGTTGTGCCTACCCAGACCGAAGGGAGGAGTTGGATTCATATGAAGCCGACATAATTAAATATCAACAACATCTACGGTATAAAGTTTCATGATTACCACAAAATATTCACTGCTAAAGCAGCAGCTCTTCTGAGGAAAAAGCAAGTTAAAGTTGATTGGAGTCTTCGCGACCGTGATATCCTTTCCTAAATTACAGCAGGATCTTCAGTCAAATTTGCAACCTGATAGATCATACAACACAGTGTTGCCCACTCAACCCATCAGTTCTGCAAGATACTCCAAGATCCAATTCATCTTACAATCTTCAAACTGAAGATTATGAAGGGCGTTCTATAATATTTCACGAAGGCCGTCAAATGTGCAACAATTTTAATAACCCCGAAGGTTGTTATAGAAAGATTTACAATCTTCTCCATCAGTGTAAAAAATGTCGCGCAGCAGGTCATGGTGCTTCGGCCTATAGGAAATCAGATATGTTACATGTGCCACCTGCTCATTCGTCTTCTACTGTGTACTCAAAAGGGAATAAATCAAATTCAGGATGACTATTCGAGGAAAAGTTCAAACGTAATGCTTAAACACCAATAAATGTAGAGATACTTGAGCATGAATTGATTTCACAGCCTGGTAGAAATTTTGTATCTTATTTATGCAATGGTCTGAGAATAGGGTTTGATTGCCTGGTTGAAGGGAGGGGAAATTTTAGAACCACAAGAATGTAAAAATAATGTTTCTGCAAGGGTCAGCCTTCAATTGTATCAGAATTAATTAAAACTGAATGTCAAAAAGGTTTTGTATATGAACCCTTTAAGTCCTTACCTTTTACAAATTATAGAGTAAGTCCACTGAGTGTTGCTGAGGGTAAATACTCTAGGAAATAACGTTTA